GGTAACCGTTAGAATCCCAATTCACCATAGGCTCATCCACAACAACAGGATTAATATGGCTCCAGGAATATAAAGAGAACATCCGAATGGCATAGTCCGGAAAGTATTGGGGAATTTTCCACGCGGAATTTGGCGGCACATTAATTACGTTGCTGGATTGACTATGTCATCTGGAAGTTGAAGTACCGAGCTGTTCCATAACTGGAAGACGGTAAATCCTTACGAGCTCCCCTCGAACCAGCGACTCGCTAAAGTTGCAGAAGGTTCTGCACAGGCTATTCACCCGTATGCAACCGTGTTAATTATGTCCCGTTGAAATACATCTACGCGGGTTAAGTCGGAAGTCCCGGGTACACATAGGATCATGTAGGTTACCTGCGATGAGTCTTACAACTAACGGTTACTGCTGGCCTTGATTCCCACTTTGATGGCGTACGTGGCAGCTAAACGGAGGAGTAAGAGCCAAAATGAAGATCTTCTCGAGTAATTTGGTGGCATCGTGATGAAGAGAAGTGGGAAATTCGAAGATAAAACAACAGAACAAACAGTAAAATAATTAAAAAGAAAAAAAAAGAATACTGACGGAGAGGGAAAGAAAGAGGATACTTAAGAACAGAATGAAGTTATTGTAAACACGTTGATGTTGAGTGCACTTCTAACTCATTTAGGTGTTGCAGCTGTTAGCTGGACAAAACCTGGACTAGCGTCGATATTTGACGTGAAGCCACGGTCATCTTCTAATTCTGATTGGGCCCTCTGTGGGCGAATCAGAATGGGGCTTTATAGTCCGGAGCTTATTGCCCGGGTATTACCTCGTGTCCTTATCGGCAGTTCCACCATTATTCTTTACATACATTCTTAGGGTCGGATATTTGTTCGCTGGGCTAAGCAGGTTGATTGCAAGCACTTATTCATTAATTGGTGTGATATCAGGGCGTTTCTGTGGTGCATAGCGATGGATCGTGTCACCGACTAATCATGCAGTTGTCACCACGTTGTCCATATAACGTATACCTCAAGCTACTGTCGTATCCTTTGACACTCCATGCTACACGGAACAGAAAACCATGAACCAACATAGGGGTAGAATGTTGGGTTCCCACTGCCGCGGGACATATGTCCACAATTGCCAGAGATCACGGATATTCCGTGGATCCTTTTTTCTAGTGAGGTGTTATTTCGTCTACGTTGCTGATCGATAGTTTAGACGGAGAAAAATGGTTAGGGGACTGACGAATGGGCTGACCGTGATGCGTTATTCAATGGGTGGAGGGTTTGTACCTGAGGTCTGGCGATTGATACGCCCCGGTCGCGCAGACTTAGGGAAGGGATTAATATGACCATGATGCCTTCGCGGTATAGCAGACGTCGGCTGACTTCAGAGTTCCTGTAATGAATCGGTGTGTGAACTAGTACCTTGTGACAAACCAGAACCGCCAAGCCCACCTACAGCTTACTCGGAACTACTGTTGGCAGATTGCTCGCAGTGGAACAGTCCACGACGTAAATACATGTAGTGGAGGCGGCTATCTTAAAACTAAGTACTGTGGGGTCTTGGTATTCTTCCGCACTCTAATTCCTCTTGAACAAGGTTGGAAACTTCAAGGAAAATGGCACGTACCCGGTCCAAGTGTTAATCATGTTGTTACATTCTTATCAGACGGTCTAGTTAAAGTTTGTTGTTAAATGATGGACTTATGTCGGGTGAGGTTCGCAAATGTTTTGGGGTCCATCCCATATATGGCTTGGGCGCGTGGCCGGACACGATAGGTAGCACAACATGGTGCCAAAGTATCTTCAGGTAGAATCTCCCTGCTCCAAATCTGAGGTCTAAGAAGCCTTATCTGCCAGTGGTAGCCAACGTTATCAGGCATTATATTCAATATTGGTTCTTGGCATAACCTCTTACATGTACGCGAACTTTACTGTTCGTTGTCTGTTGCAATGACTCGACTGGGTCCAAAGCATACCCACAGTTCGCAGTTGTAAGGGAGAGTTGACGTGGAGACGAGACCCTGGCCAAAAAGCATATCACTGTTAACTATGTATTGGATCAAACTCGAGACGTCACCATTGTAACAGCATAAGCTAGCCACTTTAGCTGCTTGTTACTCGAGATTACTAAAGTTCTGGCAACTTTCTCTCCACAAGAAATGTAACAATCTTTTTCATCCTCATGGGGGCGAGGTGGACCAACTGGTTGGAGCGCGAATTTACTGACCGGAAGGTTCGTGGTTCGAACCCGACCTCTGCCTCTCGACTTCCCCTGTCTAGGCTTGGGCGACCTGGCAGGAAGATCTTCTCGAGTAATTTGGTGGCATCGTGATGAAGAGAAGTGGGAAATTCGAAGATAAAACAACAGAACAAACAGTAAAATAATTAAAAAGAAAAAAAGAATACTGACGGAGAGGGAAAGAAAGAGGATACTTAAGAACAGAATGAAGTTATTGTAAACACGTTGATGTTGAGTGCACTTCTAACTCATTTAGGTGTTGCAGCTGTTAGCTGGACAAAACCTGGACTAGCGTCGATATTTGACGTGAAGCCACGGTCATCTTCTAATTCTGATTGGGCCCTCTGTGGGCGAATCAGAATGGGGCTTTATAGTCCGGAGCTTATTGCCCGGGTATTACCTCGTGTCCTTATCGGCAGTTCCACCATTATTCTTTACATACATTCTTAGGGTCGGATATTTGTTCGCTGGGCTAAGCAGGTTGATTGCAAGCACTTATTCATTAATTGGTGTGATATCAGGGCGTTTCTGTGGTGCATAGCGATGGATCGTGTCACCGACTAATCATGCAGTTGTCACCACGTTGTCCATATAACGTATACCTCAAGCTACTGTCGTATCCTTTGACACTCCATGCTACACGGAACAGAAAACCATGAACCAACATAGGGGTAGAATGTTGGGTTCCCACTGCCGCGGGACATATGTCCACAATTGCCAGAGATCACGGATATTCCGTGGATCCTTTTTTCTAGTGAGGTGTTATTTCGTCTACGTTGCTGATCGATAGTTTAGACGGAGAAAAATGGTTAGGGGACTGACGAATGGGCTGACCGTGATGCGTTATTCAATGGGTGGAGGGTTTGTACCTGAGGTCTGGCGATTGATACGGGGGCGATTGATGCTCCCCGGTCGCGCAGACTTAGGGAAGGGATTAATATGACCATGATGCCTTCGCGGTATAGCAGACGTCGGCTGACTTCAGAGTTCCTGTAATGAATCGGTGTGTGAACTAGTACCTTGTGACAAACCAGAACCGCCAAGCCCACCTACAGCTTACTCGGAACTACTGTTGGCAGATTGCTCGCAGTGGAACAGTCCACGACGTAAATACATGTAGTGGAGGCGGCTATCTTAAAACTAAGTACTGTGGGGTCTTGGTATCTTCCGCACATCTAATTCCTCTTGAACAAGGTTGGAAACTTCAAGGAAAATGGCACGTACCCGGTCCAAGTGTTAATCATGTTGTTACATCCTCATCAGACGGTCTAGTTAAAGTTTGTTGTTAAATGATGGACTTATGTCGGGTGAGGTTCGCAAATGTTTTGGGGTCCATCCCATATATGGCTTGGGCGCGTGGCCGGACACGATAGGTAGCACAACATGGTGCCAAAGTATCTTCAGGTAGAATCTCCCTGCTCCAAATCTGAGGTCTAAGAAGCCTTATCTGCCAGTGGTAGCCAACGTTATCAGGCATTATATTCAATATTGGTTCTTGGCATAACCTCTTACATGTACGCGAACTTTACTGTTCGTTGTCTGTTGCAATGACTCGACTGGGTCCAAAGCATACCCACAGTTCGCAGTTGTAAGGGAGAGTTGACGTGGAGACGAGACCCTGGCCAAAAAGCATATCACTGTTAACTATGTATTGGATCAAACTCGAGACGTCACCATTGTAACAGCATAAGCTAGCCACTTTAGCTGCTTGTTACTCGAGATTACTAAAGTTCTGGCAACTTTCTCTCCACAAGAAATGTAACAATCTTTTTCATCCTCATGGGGGCGAGGTGGACCAACTGGTTGGAGCGCGAATTTACTGACCGGAAGGTTCGTGGTTCGAACCCGACCTCTGCCTCTCGACTTCCCCTGTCTAGGCTTGGGCGACCTGGCAGCATCCCAGCCCTCGTGCCCCCTTCTTGTGGCACCGCAGCCAGGCACCGAAAGCGTGCTATAGCTGAACGATCAATCATCCTCATGCTTCTATTCCTTTCATGTTAGGAAGTTTCATAGTTTCCTACACTTCACTATTCGCTCGACCCTTGAATCCATGGCTACTTAATTTAGGCGATTTCGAGCAAACTATCACAACCCTTTATGTTATATTTGTCTAGCTAATGACAGTGATTGCAGACCAGTCCCAGGGATCCGGTCGAATGCGTTTAGAAGGACTGTTATGCAGCATCACCCAAGATGGGAGTGGTACGTGAACATAATTAGCCTCACTACATCCCTTAGCGTGCGAACAACCAGAGGAGGTGATCACGGATACTTTACACACATTGGGTGCAAATCTGGCATACTGTACACCGAAGCAGCTTCCAGTCATTCTTGCTGCTTTGCGTTTTTTGATTCAAAAGCACACCCAAATCGTGTTCACCCACGCACATCTGCTGTTCGCAGGACTCGGCACTGCTGGTGGTGAAAATCATATCATAAAGTATGTTATTTGTGAACCATCCTAGTTCTCAGTTCGTTTCCTGACCCACTTATCGCTATTTCCGTAACCACCGAGTTGCTGTCATGCGCAGCCGATCTACAGTCCTCAGTTACCAAATCTCTGGTACGCACCAGTTTATGTTGTCAAAACGATACTTAGGTCCAACTGTGGTGTCGTCTGGTCGCGAGAATATTCCTTTCCTCAAGGAAGAGCCATAAGGTGTTCATTAAGAATACAACCAAATTCTTATTGGCGAAGGTAATTTTTCCCATATTCCTCATACTACTCTCTAAGAATCCTGCCATTGGGAGTCTTATTGTGGAAAGGTTGAAAAGCGACGAATTTGCTTCACACTCCATACTTTTGTTGGCTTCTGCTATTTCCGACCAGCTGAATTCTTTTGAAGAGTATTCAATGCTATCGGTAGGTCGATTGTGTTGTGGCACTGAATGGCAATCAGGTTACTCTCATGGAGAAACTCCTTCAGGCACTGTTCAACACGAAGTCTCCTTTGCCAAAACACCTTTTAGTAAGTGATAGTATATGTGAATTTTAATTTTTGTCCCATTGTGGTTATTATTATGTTATTTGTCCCCCCCTTTTAGCGTGTTCTCAACCATTCTCGCGTTTGCATCATTTTATTATGCCCTGACGTCACACTCTAGACACACGCTGCCGTGATATTACAAACGGACACCCACCGTTTTGTCATTTATACCTGGCTCACCACTTGAAACTGCCATCTTATTACCAACTCAGGAGAACACGTGCAAATTCATGTCGGAAGCTCTGTACAACTTGACCACTTCAAATTTCCGGTCGTGTTACCATTAGGAACGAAAAACCCTGCCGTAAATACATATCGATCTGGGGATAATCGTACTGTTTGCTGTGACAATATTGGGGTGTTCCCCCAGGCGACCTGCATATCCTTATTTACCGAAACAGCGATGATGCCTTTCCCCGAGGAAGGAGGGGTAAGAAAAGTTCACCCAAGGAAGTGCGCTTTTTGATTGCTCAACGCCTGACCGTGATCGCCAACGCATTACCCAGTACGGTCGAAATACTTTGATACATCAAGAATCAGGTGGTGCTCATAGGCTACTTGCTTTGTTTAGTGGTTAGAGCGCGAATTTACTCACCGGAAGGTCCGTGGTTCGAACCCGACCTCTACCTCTCGACTTCCCCTGTCTTGGCTTGGGCAATCTGGCAGTATCCCAGCCCTTGTGCTTCTCTCATTTGGCATGGCAGTTAGGCGCCGAAAGGGTGCTACAGCTGAACGCTGGACGCAGTCTTATTAGAACTCAGTATTCCATGCCTTATTGCTTTCATCCTCGGGCTCCCTGCGTTAACCTTCTGATGCTTTGTTAGTCAGACCTTGGCAAAATTATCCACTGATGTTGCACCCTTCACGACAACAATTTGTCTGTTATCATAGCAGTGTGCGGTGTACAACCGAAAGATGAGCATGAATGGAGGGTTTGATGGAGAAATTGTCCCCTCTGATGGACAAATAAAGTGCTAATGATACTTTGATAGCTGCACTGTACACTCACTTTTTAAGTTCGGCAGAACTAAGCTAACATTTTAACTTCGAACACCCCTCCGCCCGCAGCCACTATTCTTGAAAACGGAATAATGGTCTAAAGTCTCTTGGCAGGTATCTTCAAATCGTTGGCAGCTCAAGTAATTCCCTGCTGAATGTTCTGAGTTGTTTTTCCATCTGCTTACGTGTATTGGGATGAGTGTTCAGTGTAGTGTGAAATAGAACGCGCACGTGAATGAATGTTGCACTTTCCGAAGAGATCCAGGTATCCGCTTGACGATGTTGCGGAGTATCGGTAGCTTGGATGTTCTGGTTGGTTGTTGGTCTGTACCCCGAGCCGGACTACAAACGTTCCATCACCAATCGGAGTGGCATCGTCGACCCCGCACTGACTGTCCGCTTATGAGATGTTGCAGCACATTGGCCCGACCAAGAACTTTTATGCCGATGTGGGGGTCGGACTTGAGTGTCCACATGATCCGGTAGGCTCTTTTGACTCTTATTCTTCTGGTCCTTTTCTTCTAACAATAACAGAGAGGCCGTACGGAATGACAAAGGACGCTGGTGAATAGCAAAAGTCCATCTAATGGGAGAGAATTTCAATGCAGAGAACAACTGGGCTCTATTTTACCTCTCACGAGAACGACTAGTGGCAGCAAGGCTGTCCTTAAAAAAGGGACAGCACTTCTCCCACGAAACGTCGTCTTGAATCACGGACATAACACTGCGGCGCAGTTGAACTGTTTTCCATTAACCCATTCCTAGAGAGCCAGCAATTTTGGGACAATTTCTTCATCAAAACAGCCACTCAATACGAGCGCTCTTTGTGTTGGCGCAAAATTCCCCAAAATTCCCGCAAAATTCCCCATCCTACACAAACGCGATAACTATCCTGATGCCCATCCTGTAAAATACTTCGAACGAAAATCGAATGTTAGTCGACCTGAATGTTTCGATGGGAATACGAACCTTTAAGACTTCCATATCTAAAAGTAGCTTTCGTCCCTTCGAGCATCACAAACTGCAACCCTCTGGACACGAAGTGTGTCCTTCCTAAATCCTCTCGTAAGAACACTATATTCTCACGAATACGAGTCTGCAAAAGGCCTTCCGCTTAGTTCGCTATATATCCTGGTGTTGAGCAAGTCTGCTCTCTCGTTTTTCCTCTTTGGCATCAATATCGATATGCCACGTGCTCCTAACAGCATGCGTTCCTGGCGTTGGCTCACAAACATCTAGTATGCATATGAGTGTAAAAGAAAGAAAGAAAGCATTCAGCTGTAGCACCCTTCCGGTGCCTAGCTGCCATGCCACCCGAAGGAAGCACGAGGGCTGGGATACTGTCAGGTTGCCCAAGCCTAGACAGGGGAAGTCGAGTGGCGGAGGTCGGGTTCGAACCACGGACCTTCCGGTCAGTAAATTCGCGCTCTAACCACTTGGGCCATCTCGCCCCCGCATATGAGTGTAGTCCTCTTGAGCCTTTTGAAGACAGCTCACATGGTTTAACATACTCTTTACACCCGAAAAGTGTGAAGTACTGGTGTAAGACGATACTTGCAAATGAACAATCAGTGTGGCACATGAATTCATCCCTATCAGTCCGGGCGGGCTGGTAAGAAACCAGATGAATTCCAAGCGAAGGCCATTGTATTGTCTATCAGTTCTCGGCATTTCGTCAATTCAGCTGTTAGCGATAGATTAGTAATATGCTGTGGTCATCTTATTTTTTCGGTTGCGTGCTGTCTAACGTGGGGAAGTGACATTAATCCTTCGAAAAAAAATCGTTCAGCTGTAGCACCCTTTCGGTGCCTAGCTGCCATGCCACCCGAAGGAAGCACGAGGGCTGGGATACTGTCAGGTTGCCCAAGCCTAGACAGGGGAAGTTGAGTGGCGGAGGTCGGATTCGAACCACGGACCTTCCGGTTAGTAAATTCTCCCTCTAACCACTTGGGCCATCTCGCCCTCATTGATCTTTCGAGATTGTATTGTTTACGTTAGAGGTGCTTCTGGTTGGTTTCATACATTAATCACTGTTTTTCGTGCTTTGGGCCGCATTCAAAACAATTGGCTGTGACATTGAGTCGCAAAACATTCGTTAGCTGTTTTCTTTTTACGTTTGAGGGTAACGGTGACATGGTTCCCTTGTGTTCAGATAAACGCCGAATATTTTGTGTGCAATACATTATAAGTGATGGGATCTGAATGGACAGTCATTCATCTTGTGTTGTCATCTCTGGGCTAATCGACCCTGCTTGTTTATGAATAATTCTTGTGTTTTTACTCTATCTTTACATATACATCGCCCGTCAGCCACGTTCGGGTTATCTATCCTAACCTGCCTTCCTTACCCTCCTAACAGCCTGCGTACACAGCAAGCATTTCTACCTGTCTGACTCCGGATCTCTTCAAAAGTTTGGTCATACCATCCGTGCATCGTGCTATCTTGCGGTCTGCTGAGGCGAATATGGTTGGTACGTCCACCGTTCCTTAACTTTCTAGTGATTTTCGGACTTTGCACCTCCGGCAAACAGTGGAAACAAAGCAGCATTGTCTGACTGAAAACACTTTTATACCTAAACAGATCCGGCCACCGTCATACTTGCTTATTTTCTGTGATACAGTGATGCTCAGTTGCTTGCGTAGTCATACATTATCATCGACAGCACAACACCAATGTTCAACACTGATGATTCGCTACCGTGTTATGGGGAAAAGAATGAGTGGGGAAGGGGAGGGGACTTAGTGCCAACTACACAATCATTCCGAGGTGTCTCTTTTGAATTTATGCCAATTATTCCATGGACGAAAGCAGACTGGTGAAAAGTGCAAAGGAAACCGGTGTTTTATACAAGATAGTTCAGAACATTCTCCTCTATAGTTCAGAGCGTCTCGTTAGTGTGTGGGACTTTTTTACTTTGGATCCACGATTAGATTGCGAAAATTGATGTTTTCATCTGAAGACCCTCAATATCCGCAGACATTTGATCACCTGTGGCCTTGTCACATAAAAGCAGTTAGTCGGCTGCATCATGGCCATACTGAAGTGGTTCGTAAGTGGGTGTCTGGTGCTCAGTCGGAATCGCCAAGTCAGCAAAGAAAACATCCCCTGTGGTTTGGACGTGGGATACCAATCAGATGTGTTGATAGCTGTAGGGGTCCTTCTCCCTCTCCACCTTCCGGTCTTTTTCTCTCAGTTTTACACCGGGTACGGAGCATTCAGCTCCAGTTGCATGTTAGATTATCGACTGTGCGCGGTGGTTCCATTAGCTTTGTTCGATGTAACATGCCAGTCCGAAAACGGATGTGAGCTCGCCAATATTCTTGCCTCCGTTGCAGAAAGTGCTGTTTTCGTATTCAGCTCTATGTTACCCAAAGTTTCACTGTTGACATACCCTGGCACCAACGCGATTTGAATACGGCTACCTCTCAACTGGATATCGCAAGATATTTTCTGATCCATAGCGGAAGTTGACGCGGTTCTCCTCGCATTTGGCTGGAAACTCTCTGGATGGCGCGCCTTTCTTAGCTGTGTTTTGTCTTCCGTGTGTTTGGCTAGTGTCTAACGCGGCTTATTGGGATGCAGCATCCATCCAATTTTGTCTCAATCCATCGCGATGCTCGTGTATGTCTTTTTAATGCTTTTCTACGGCGTAGATATTTTTCTTTAATCCGATGCTACCGAAAGATTGCTGACACCTCTTCCAAAGTGGTTTAACTGAGAGATTAACCGCGCCTCGTTAATTTGCAAGTGAGTGGTTGGATCCACATGTAGGGACATTACTCCTTATAATTTTGGTCAAAAAAGTTGATTTATTTTGTATCATATCCCCACTGACTAAAACGTTTCTCCTCATGACTCTGTCAGCTAGCTGACAGTACTTCTGCTACCGCTTTCCTGTCAATGCTGATGGTTGATTTTTATTGGTCGTTTTGGGTATGTGCAAACGACGCTCCGTTGATGACCTCACGTAGCACTTCACCTACCACTGGATTCTTTGTTCCTCAGACGTCACATATGGCTGCAATAAACATCGCTCACCACCTCAGTAGTCCAAAGAACCGAAACGTAGGTTGTTTCGTTCACTCGCATTGCACTATCCTTACATAACGCTGTGACAGCTTTGTTGTCCAACGAGATAACTCGACTGAACAATAATTTCCCTGGGTATGTTACTGTATCTGACCTAGTCTTGTTCAGTTGCGCCATCCAACTCAATGAGTTGCACTCAGAACTGAGCCATGTGGCCTACAACTTCTTTTGATCTCCAATGGTTTTGCGAACCCTTGATTTCGCATCATCTAGATTTCACTTCTAAGTCCAACGTCTGCAGTTCTAAACTTGTCCCACTGAGTCCTGTTCACCCACCTACCCCTCATGATTGACCAGCAGTTAGCAATATTAATTTGGTTGAATGTGGTCCTTATTCATAGGTCTTTATGAAGAATGCAGCGAGGTGAGAAGAGCAACAATAATGTGTGTGGAGTGAGATAGCATCTAGAAAGGCGTACGCTGTGCAACTGTGATGCTACAGATGATGAGTGCATATTTACCGACTTAACTTACAGATGGGGTTAATGTGCTATAGGAAACTGAGGAATCCGAAAAGGTTGCTATAAGTAAAGGGGACGTTCTTATACCAGTAGGAGTGAGCGCTGTTTAATGCGTCCCCATGTTCCAGCTTATTTGATTATAGTAAATAGGGCAAATGATGGCCTTTGGTTCGTTCGCTGAGCTGCTCAATATGATTGCAAACGGTTCATCACCAATCGAGGCGATATCATCAGTGCGTTGTTAAGGGACGTATTGGTCCGCAGCGATGGGTTGATGGTTGTGCGTTGAGTAGTGTTTCGTGTGTGTCAATATACGTGCTGCTAGCCGGGGCAGCAGCACGTCTATAGTAAAATCAAATTATGTAACAAACCGTAAATGGTTGGAGCGTAACGTGTATAGTCCAGATACACTTTTGGAAGCGTTTCTCACCAATTCTTCGTCAAGATGTCCGAAGCTGCTTCACAGAGAATGTTGCATACGCGAGAGATCGATGTGGTTGGTGCTGTGCACAAGGAGTACCACTGAATTTCTCTCAAGGTTTATTGTATATTATTGGTCGCTGGTACTTTCATTCGTGTGTCGATGATAAGTTTTGTCAGGCTCGTTCACGCGTGCTGGTCGTACACTGGTTGTAGCTGCCACAGTTTCGTTCACCGATGATTGGGGGGGGGTAGGTAGCTGCGCATTGCACGTGCGAGCTGGTAAATTGGTGCATAAATCCAGCACTTTCAGTGAGTTGTCAAGCGGGGGGGTGGAGAAGGAGCTATGCATTGAAGGCAATAGCTTGGATGCACGAGCGCCACTGAGGGCGCGACTGGGCCATGTCTGATAATGTCTCTAGCCATTGATGTGGCCCGTCTCGGGGTCCCCATCCAGGAAGACGGCAGTGACCAGCGCAGCTGAGTTTGCTGGTAATGGCCTTCATACTTCGCTGCCAAGTCATTGTTTGACCGCCTCTGGCTCTCTTCCACCCTTCACATGGTTGGGCGAAAAGAGCCCTTCGAGGAAGTCGGTCGACTGGCATACGCAGCACGTGGCCAAGCCAACGCAACCTGTGCAGTGTGATCAGTTCATCTATCGAGGGTGAGTTATTTCTCCCGAATACCATTCGACGTACTTCAGAATTGCTGATCCGGTGTTCCCACCAGATTCGGGCAATGCTCCGAAGACATCGATGGTCAAACACTGAAAGTCTTTTGACGTCCTCGGCGCGCAGCGGCCAGGTTTCTGATCCATATAGTAATATGGAGCGCACCGCAGCATTGTAAACTCGACCCTTGACAGAGAAGCTGATGTCACGCCTACGCCACAGGTGACGTAGGTTCGCAAAAGCTGCTCTGGCCTTCCCAATCCGGATGGTAATTTCATCGTTCGCCAGACCACCGGGACTGATACGGCTTCCCAGGTAAACAAATCTGTCTACTACCTCAATCGGTTCATCCGCAAGCACGAGGTTAGGGTTCGAGTCCACCCAGTCTTGCAGTAGCACTTTACACTTTGCAGGTGTGAAGCGCATACCAAACCGCGAGGCAGAATTATTTAGATTATTTAGTATTGTTTTCAATGCCACGGGGTCAGATCCTAGAAGAGCTATGTCGTCTGCGTACTCGATGTCTGTGAGCGGAGACCCAGGGAGCACTTCGACCCCACAGGCATTAGAGGCTCGTAATGAGTCTTCCATGATCGTACCAATGATGAAGTTAAAGAGGAAAGGTGAAAGAGGACA